GAATCTTACATTTAATTAGGCAATATTGTTATTGTTAGGAATTTTTTCAGAGGATGCTTTATAAGGGAATCTCCGTTCATGAGCTTTGGTAAGGAACCTTCCTAGGTCTCCGATGGTTGTAGCCGTAGGATGTGCAAAGATCTGCGCAAGTCTCCTAGTCTGCTATGGCCGTAGGTTGATCGACAGGTATGTTTCGCAACCGAAGCTTGCCTTGATGAGGTTGTAGAATCCCAATTTTCTGTTGAGTTTTCGCTCTTTGTTCCATTGTTGAACAAAAAAAGGTTTTCATAGCCTCGCTGATTTTGAGAGGGTTTGAAAGATCGCTTCCTCCTGATAGCTGTTTCACTGTGTTCCTGGTGGATTCCAGCCGGGAGAACCACAACAATTTCAGATCCCTCTGCTCGGGGTCAGCATGCCTCACTAAGGAAGAGCATCCCTCTTTGTCCAGTCCCTCCAACCTCCCCAGGTAGCTATAGACTTGGGACGAAAGATCGATAGCTAGCGGGTATCTTCCAGTGTCATCCCAAACAGCGGTGTTCCAAGTCGATTTGTTGACATTCATGGTCCATTTCATGAATGATTGGTGGACTTTCTCCAGAGGGTCTTTTGCTGTATCCTGTGTAGCCGGATGACTCCCTGATGCAAAGACAGACATGGAATTTGTCATGGGAATCCATATCTGGCACCCGTAGGAAAGAACAGGAACAATCAGGTTGTCGAAAAGCTTAAATATAGTTGTCTACCGAAGGTATCGAAGGTCAAGCATACTCTTGAGAGAGAAGTAGCTCCGGAGTCCTTTTTTTCTAAGCTTTATCTGAGTAAGTTTTAATGATCCCGTGAGTGTGAACGTAATTCCAAGATATGTGTACTCACGCACTGATGGCAAGGTCATTTCTCCGTCATTTCTCCGTAGACAAAATTTGTACTGTCCTTGAGCACCCGTCCTGCCCGGTTGAACACCATAATTGCTGTTTTTGATATGTTAACCGATAACCCCCACTCTTGACAGTAGGTGTGTACAACTTCTAACATTCTCTGAAGACTCTCTTGGTCGAGAGCCAACAGAATCAGGTCATCGGCCCAGAGGAGGTGGGTTACTATAGTACTTTTCAGTAACGGTACTTCGACATTTTCAATAGAAATAGGTCTTCTGAAAGTTGGTGCATGAAGCATTTGACTGCCATATAGTCAACTACGCTAGCACCATTGTAGTTGACAGAGGTATATTTCCCAAAGATGTCTCCCAGTGTATTACCGTTTAGCAGCGATAGTCGATTACAAGAGAGGAAATCTAACAATAGGTTACCCCTGGGTTAAGTACTTGATCCTTGCTTACTCTCCCGCTAGTTTTTGGATGGTTGGAGGGGATTTCATCTGGTTCAGTGTTAGAGTCATCTTCTTCAAAGTCGAAGTTGGTGTTTCCAGTACGGGCATTTAGGTCACCCACCAGCAAGATCTTGCCAAGATCGGGATTCTGAGCTTTAAAGTCAAGGAGGTGCTCTAATGTTGTCATGTAAGGGGAGCCATCTCCAGCCTTGCGTTTTGACTTGTACGACGACTGCTCTGGTGAGTCGTAGACATTGATGATGGTGAACTTGTTTTCCATATCCACTCTTGCACATTATTTATTTATTTATTTCTATTATATTGATGTATAGTCAAGACGTGAGTGTTAGGGCTCTCATTGACAAATTTATGTTTAATCCTGTTTAATCCTGTTTAATCCTGTTTATGGATCCGTGCCATTTTACTGACACCACGGCATCAACTTTAACGCGACGTTCCGCAAAAACCGTAAAAGATATATCTTTTTATATATACAATTGAAACTTTTTTGACTGGGTCAAATGCTTCAATGGCCTTCAAATCAGCATGAAAACATAAAAAATTGGCCAAGGAATAAGAATTTTAGTGCCCAAAATTTGGACTCCCAAGTGGTGTCAAAAACGCGAATTAAATTATATTTAAATAGGCAATAATTATTTTATTTTATTAAGTCTCTCGAGTCTTGACACCATTTTAGGGTTATACGGGTTCCTGCTAGTACACTTAAACCGTTAAAATTATAGTCTCCATCTTAGACTTAAGTTTTAAATACTCACAATAAAATTTAAAGACACACAAAAAACACACAAACGTCCCTTACCTGGGGACCCCAGGCTATTATGTTCATAAAGATTCGGCGGAATGACAGGCTGAGCGCCGCCCAGTAAAAACGTCCCCAAAACATTAATTTCGATTTCAATTTCCCTAGTTGAAACTAACTTATTTTAGGAAATTGATACATTTGAGAAGATATCGTGATTACATGGTAATTGGTAACCACTAACCATCCATGATCCCCAATTAGTCCTAGGTTTTGTATATGAAGCAAATGGTTCTTATATCTCTTTTTAATTAGTTAAATTGACAAAAGATGATACGGTACATCATGATCAAAAAAATAATTTAAAATTTTTGATGCATTAAAAACAAAATTACTATTCTTGGTCTTAGACATTGAGATTTTAGGATATAGAAGTCTGCATGATCTACTTGACTTGCTAAACCGGTGATATACATCAACAGGAATTTGTTCTTTAAGTAGCCTCATTGCAATACATCCAGTAAAGTATGTAAATAAGTTAAACAAGGTTAATAATTTCAAACGAAAGAACATTGGTTTCGTATCTTGAAACTTGTGATCAATCTTTATCGTTTTTCTACTCACAATACGAATATATTTTTTCTGCAATACAAACAGTTTTTGCGGCAAAGGATTGTGAAAAACAGCACCCCACAGTGGTATACAATGCATTAAATATGGTTGAACAAGTGAAATATATACTTGTCTTAACACTTTGGCTGGTACTATAGAACTTATGGAGTAAAGTGATCCGCAAGATTTTGAAACTTGCGTTATTACATTGGTAATATGATCATTTCACGTTAAATTAAAATTAATAATGACTCCCAAAAAAGAAGTCACCGTGAAATTTATTCACGGCTTATGAATTTTAATCAGTTTAGGTTTATAAAATCGATGGCACTTTCAAGAAACTCCTTGGGGTTGCTTTCAGTTTCAGGCCGATACCTAGTACTTTTGGATAAAGACGGTAGTAACTAGTTAGTGACCAATTAGATGAGGTTTATCGAATCTTTATTGCCGATTACTGCCTCTGGGTTGTGCTGCTTAATTTATCACAATTGTAAATGAATCATTCATTTACAATTGTGATAAATTCATTATGAATGGGAAAAGCGATCAGCGACCGATTTCATTCTCGGTATCATTTTGCATTTGAGAACGGTTATTCCAATTGATATCATTTCCTTTTGTTTGGGAAAGGGAGATACTGGCAACGATCTGCACTCTACCCAATTATGGGTTTTGGTAAAATATCATTTATTTTTGGTTAATATCATGCACAGGGTCCTTGACAAAGTCGAAATGTAAAACTGAGAACTTCATTATTCATTAATAAGTGGTAATTTTATGAACGATTTTTTTACCTTTGTAAATTTCCTTGTGTTTGAGTGAGTATATCTCTAAATTACTGACTGTAATTGTTGAAAGGAGCATATCCCAGGTTTATGCGACCCTGAATATCAGCTTTGCTACACAAGACGGACCCTACAGTGACACTTTTCCTCCATGCTTCATTCCCCGACAATAATTTCCCATCACTGTCAACTTCACCCGTACTAGCTAAATAAACATTAGTGAAGTCCGTTTTGTCTTCATTGACAAAGAGGTTCCATTTCTTGACCGGGACAAAATAGCTTTCGAGATGTCTTCATCATTGAAGTCGACATCATCAGCATATTCAGTGTCAAGTGGAAGGCCAGCAATATTAATCGGGGGAATCGGCATATCTAAACTGATTGTTAAAGTCCATCTAAGTTCATTCAAAGCACCAGCTAAGACAAGGGTGAACCACCAGCTAAGACAAGGGTGAACAGACAGCCGGATAAACAGTCACCTTGGAAATCTCCAAGGAGACTTAAAAACTCAGCTGAAAGAACTCCATTGACCTTCAGTCTTCACCCGTAGCCTTGTGTTGGACAACAACAACCGGAAAATCCTCAGCTCATCCTCAGTACAGCCACACAGTTTCAGGAGTCCAAGAATCGTAGTGCGTTTGATCGTGTCAAACGCACTAGACATAGCAATGCCCATGCGATGATACTCCCATTTCTTCCTTTGGACAGCTGACAGTAGAACTCGCTAACACCATACAATATCAGCACAAGATAATACCCTAATACACCATTTATAATTATAGCTTTATTAAAAAGTAAAGCATTAATTCTAGATCTGACCGGTGACTGATGCTACCTTTATTATAGGTACCATAGTAATTGATTTACGAACTTCATACGCATTGAAGAAAAGTAAATTTGTTTAACTTCATGTAACATGTTCCTTAGATATTCCTGCGATTATAACAATCGATTGATAGAGTAACATTTGGCAATTTAAATGGTCAAATTAGAACTTTTAGGGTACCATTTGATTTCAGTGTACCATTTGATTTCAGGATACCATTTGATTTCAGCATACCATTCGATTTCCGGACACCGAATTTGCTTCATAATTTAATCTGCTCTGGAGTGCGGATTACAATCTGTCAAGAGCCTGGGTTATCGGTTAATATATCAAAACAGCAATGATGGTGTTCAACAGAACAGAAAATGTGCTCAAGGATAGTACAAGTTGAGCTGTGATTGTAATATCTACTACTCTAATCTACTGAAGTAGAGTGCGGGTTAGGTTAGTAAATGTTGATTATTGACTTTTCAGTAATTTAAACCCTTTTAGATTTGTTTTATTTTTCATTTTTGATAAATTTGCAGGTAACTCAGTTTTCTGAACTAATTAAAACCAAGACCATGAAATGCGCAACCATAATTTATAAATATAACAACAACCAAATATACTGCTTCAATAAACTTCCAAAATTCAAAACTATGAAACATTTTACAGGCAAATTAATAGATATCCGAGTTTATGAGTAAGCTTAGTATTTGTAAGCGTAGACACCGTCCCACTGAGGATCGTAGGACTCCATCCAGAACTTTCTGAAGAGATGGATCAGTTCGTTTCGCTCCAGTTTTCCACTCTTGTCCGTGTCAGCTTTCTCAAAGAAGGTGTAGGCAGCCTCCTGAGGCACATCAAAAGCCTTCATCATGGTCTTTAGTTCATCAACATCAACAGTACCATCACCGTCATCATCCAGGACATCGTAGTAAGCGTCTGACAAAAGACCAATCAAGGAGGGTTCACCACGTCGTTCCCTCTCTCTTTCAGCCTCAGCAAAGACTCTGTTAGACTCAACCCAGTTCTCCCTAAGTAACCCGTTAACTGGATCCACTCCTTTGTTGAGGAAGAAAGTGTAGCACGCAGCCCTCATGTTGTCGACCTGTTCGTCAGTAGCGTTCACCAGCTGTCTCATTCTGTCGGGCCAGTACAGGATCTCGTCCATGTCCATACGACCGTCACTGTCTAGATCGAAGGTGTCGAACCTCTTGTAGAGACGGGTTATCTGCTTTGGGTGTAGATCCTCGATATCAAACTGCCAATCGTTACCCACACTTCTCAGCCATCTATAGCTCTCGTTGTTGTTCTCGTCTAGAGGCATAGCAGTTCTTGGCTAAATGATAATCAAATTATAAATTTTAAGGGTATAAAAACTTAAACAGTATTTGGAAAAACAGTATTTCAGGCTCCAAATTGGTCCACTGTTGAAAACTATGCATGAAATGGTCATATTGCTAAAATGGGGCGAGTTTTCCCTAATGAAACCCTTAAGTTAAGTTTAAAAGGTTCAGTTAAAAGGTTCAGCCTGAAATTTTACGTGCAATTTTGCCGCTCCCACAGAAATATAGTGTGAACCCCGCACTCAAAACTCAATTAGTCATGTTCACCTGGAATACGAAATGGACATTAAGACCTGTGGTGGTGAGTAACACCACTAAATTCCTAGGAGTGACCCTTGACAGCAAGCTCAACTTCAACGAACATATCACCAATATCACCAAAAAAGCTACGGCATCCCTTATGCAATGTAGAGGAACTGTCGGCCCCACATCATCAGGGCAACGCCAATGCGAGGAAGTTCAAACGAGTGCAGGCACTGGCACTGAGAATGATGTCTGGTGCCATGCCAAGTACTCCCTTCATCGCATTGAACCACCTCACTAACACTCCAGAGATCATACTTTTCCTGAGAGGTGGCACTGAGAATGATGTCTGGTGCCATGCCAAGTACTCCCTTCATCGCATTGAACCACCTCACTAACACTCCAGAGATCATACTTTTCCTGAGAGGCGAAGCAGCAAAGGGTGCAGCCAGGCTTTAAGCCTACGGTAGCCTAATCCTAGAAACTATCGCCTTCAGAAAAGGTACCATCAAAACTCACACCCCTATCAACAAACAATTCATGGTAGATCTTAATATACCACCCAGAGCAGAGAGAGAGACCTATCAATTTATTCAATGATGCTTGGACGGCATTTCACAGTCACAACACCTGGTGCTGACAACATTGATTATAGAGATTCACTACAAATCACCATCGACAACATCTCCAGTGAGACGATCACCTGCTACACAGACGAGTCACGCACAGACTCAGGAAGCGGGGCTGCCTATATCGTCACCACCGACAATAATGACTCCACTCAAGAGGAAAGATCATTCAAGCTTCCTGATTATTGCACTGTTTATCAAACAGAACTAACAGCCATCATCGAAGCTTGCAAATATCTCTCAACTTATACCAACACACATATCATCATATGGTTTGACAGTCTCTCCCCTATACAAGCTATCTCCTCGCTTTCAACGAGGAGTAGAACTACTAGAGACTGTTATAACTGCCTCATTGCACTCGGTTCCACTAAAACTCTAGAGATCCGATGGATAGCTGCACAGACCGGTGTGACAGAGCGACTACTCACACGTTGTCATAGCGACTACTCACATGTTGTCATAGCGACTACTCACACGTTGTCATAGCGACTACTCACACGTTGTCATAGCGACTACTCACATGTTGTCATAGCGACTACTCACATGTTGTCATAGCGACTACTCACACGTTGTCATAGCGACTACTCACATGTTGTCATAGCGACTACTCACACGTTGTCTTAGCTCATCTTTCTGTCCCACACCCAGCTGACACCTAAGCGTTCCCTCAGAATACTTAACATCATCATCCACTATAGGTCCAACCTGTCTCAAAAACAGAAAAACGTCCTATCCCTGTTAGGTGACTGCTTCTAAGGCACTTTACAGCTTTACAGCAGACGAGTAAAGCATCAATTCTAACTCTTAACGGTTATTGATGCTTCTTTTATAGTCGCCACGGTTCATAATTTTACGTCATGGGCATTTAAAGGAAATTAAATTTGAATAGCTTGCACGTTTCTTATCTTATATATTTTGATATAATGATCATGTCCAATTGATATATTAATATAATCGTTGATAGCATTATATTTGACGATTCTAATCGTGAATTATTAAATGATTAAAATATTCAAATTTAATAATAAAGGTGTGATTATTTCTGATGGTCTTCCTACTCCTAGGTGCTCTTGTCCAATTGAAATGATTCTTGGAAGACAAATTGTGAAATTGCCTCAATGTAATTAAGGAGTTTAACGAAATGAAGAGAAAATAATAGAAGGTAGATTTGGTAGCAATAGTAACATACTCAGGCACTCAGAATATTATTTCTGATGGTCTTCCTGGTCTCGGTCCAATTGAAATGATTCTTGGAAGATGAATGCTTCAATAACTGGCAATATATTTCATGTTTCGGTATAAAATTAATTCTTTAATACAATAAAGGAGTTTAACGTAATGAATAAATAATAATTGAAGGGAGATTTGACTGCTTACTAGTTTTTTATCAAAATATTTTAAGTACAAATAAATTCATAAAATTCATAAATTTGTGTTTTCACCTTGACAGGAATTTATGTGACTCACATTCTATTGAATCAAAAACCGGAACTTCAATAAATGTAATAATTGTCACCTGGAAGCTGTTATAATTTGTTGTCATGATCTGAAATATTCTTTGCTGAAACCTGAGTATATTTTGCAGTTTATCTAGTATAATTACAATTCAGCATACTGAAAGTAGCGCGTATTCTCTCTGTATTACTTAGTTTATAATACATTACTTAGTTTCCTGAGCACAGTTATTAGTTGCGCTCATCAGCTTACTCGGAGGCCTGTAATAAACTGAAGATAAATAAGCACCAAAATTTCCCAATCTGCTAAAATAGAGCGCAGCAAAGCTGCTCATCATCCCGTAGAAAATAGTAACTCTAGAAAGGGAGATACTGGCAACGGTCTGCACTCTACCCAATTATGGGTTTTGGTAAAATATCATTTCTTTTTGGTTAATATCAGGGTCCTTGACAAAGTCGAAATGTAAAACTGAGAACTACATTATTCATTAATAAGTGGTAATCTCTAAATAACTGACTGTAATTGTTGAAAGGAGCATATCCCAGGTTTATGCGACCCTGAATATCAGCTTTGCTACACAAGACGGACCCTACAGTGATACTTTTCCTCCATGCTTCATTCCCCGACAATAATTTTCCATCACTGTCAACTTCACCCGTACTAGCTAAATAAACATGAGTGAAGTCCGTTTTGTCTTCATTGACAAAGAGGTTCCATTTCTTGATCGGGGCAAAATAACTCTCGAGATGTCTTCATCATTGAAGTCGACATCATCAGCATATTCAGTGTCAAGTGGAAGGCGAGCAATATTAATTAGGGGAATCGGCCTATCTAAACTGATTGTTATAGTCCATCTAAGTTCATTCAAAGCACCAGCTAAGACAAGGGTGAATAGACAGCCGGATAAACAGTCACCTTGGAAATCTCCAAGGAGACTTAAAAACTCAGCTGAAAGAATTCCATTGACCTTCAGTCTTCACCCGTAGCCTTGTGTTGGACAACAACAACCGGACAATCCTCTTCAGCACAGCCACACAGTTTCAGGAGTTCAAGAATCGTAGTGCGTTTGATCGTGTCAAACGCACTAGACATAGCAATGCCCATGCGATGATACTCCCATTTCTTCCTTTGGACAGCTGACAGTAGAACTCGCTAACACCATACAATATCAGCACAAGATAATACCCTAATACACCATTTATAATTATAGCTTTATTAAAAAGTAAAGCATTAATTCTAGATCTGACCGGTGACTGATGCTACCTTTATTATAGGTACCATAGTAATTGATTTACGAACTTCATACGCATTGAAGAAAAGTAAATTTGTTTAACTTCATGTAACATGTTCCTTAGATATTCCTGCAATCTTACTATATATAAAGCGAGACGATATATATATATATATATATATATATTTATTTATCTGTACCATTTTACTGACACCACGGCATCAACTTTAACACGGGTTTCCGCAAAAACCGTACAAGATATAAAACTGAGACTTTTTTAACTGATTCAAATGCTTTAATGGCCTTCAAATCAGCATGAAAAAATTGAAAATTGGCCAAGGAATAAGAATTTTAGTACCCAAAATTTGGACCCCCAAGTGGTGTCAAAAACGCGAATTAAATAGGTAGGTAACAATTTGTTTAGTCTCTAACTCTTGAAGTCTTGACACCATTCGATATTAAGACAATATTATCTGCACTAATTAGCAAATACAAGTATAAAAACCAATCCCTATTTACAAACTACAGCTACTACTACTAAAAATGCCGTCACTAATTGTCGAAACTTATCTTTTTATACATTGCTGATAAGATTATCAATGCATGTAAAATTATGCACTCACTGCAGCACACTATTGTTTCGACTCCAAAGTAGTGTGCTGTTTTTTGCACATGGGGGCCAATTGAAACAAAAATACGATTTAGAACTGGCAGATGCTGCTGCCACTGGCGGAAGCGCTGCCAAAATTTTAATTTCGCACTTTGTATGATATAAATAATTCAAAAATAATGTATCGCGTAGTAAATGCAATTATGAAGCGGAAGAGAAATAATACTGAAAGACCTACTACTCTTATCTTAGAGGAAGACCTACCTATACCGTGCTCATCTAGCACACCTCTGCCCCGGAGCGAGGAAGGTGAGCAATATTTTTGATATCTTCAACTATACTTTAATTTTGTCTTTAAGCTGAAGCTAAGACGTTGACTAATAAGATGAGAATATACAAACTGTTCAGGACGAGAGTTTGACTTTCCCAACACCTTAAGTCCTGTCACTGTTAGAGGAACATTTCGTAGAAGAGGCCACTCCCGAGGAACTATTCGTTCGGCACCAAGTAAGAAAATATATTTATTGTTGAGAATTTTAGTCATTATGTTAGACATAGACTGGGTCGTCATTCTCATTTTAATAATATTTGTACAGTGCGACTAAATAAATCCACCATAGGTCCGGTTTATACTGAATCTGATGAAGCTCCCCAACAAATCAATGAAACTAGAGAGCGCACAAGAGGCCGTCCTAGGGGTCGTCCTAGGGGTCGTCCTAGGGGTCGTCCTAGGGGTCGTTCTAGAGGTCGTCCCAGGGGTTCCACAGCGGCAAATTCTATCGGAGCTTTATTATCAGGTTAATAAACATCGAAATAAGAAATATTTTGAATTTTCGCAAAAAAAATAACTGTTTAAATTTTTTCTAAATTTCTTAGTCTTTAAGTATACACTTTACATATGCATATATAAAAGTATTTTTCAGACAAAAGGCCTGTTAAAAGAAAGCGGGATATTCTTGCACAGTCCGAGATGCAACGTGAAACACGTTTAAGTAGAGACAGAAGGAGGAAGCAAGAAAAGATACTGAACGAGTCTCAGGAGGAGCGAGACCGTCGGTTGGAGCAGGTATCAAACGGTCGAGCCATCCGAATTCTGAACGAGTCTCAGGAGGAGCGAGACCGTCGGTTGGAACAGGTATCAAACGGTCGAGCCATCCGAATTCTGAACGAGTCTCAGGAGGAGCGAGACCGTCGGTTGGAGCAGTTATCAATCGGTCAAGCCATCCGAATTATGAATGAGTCTCAGGAGGAAAGGGATTGTCGGTTGGAGCAGTTATCAATCGGTCAAGCCATCCGAATTATGAATGAGTCTCAGGAGGAGCGAGACCGTCGGTTGGAGCAGTTATCAATAGGTCAAGCCATCCGAATTATGAATGAGTCTCAGGAGGAAAGGGATTGTCGGTTGGAGCAGTTATCAATCGGTCAAGCCATCCGAATTATGAATGAGTCTCAGGAGGAAAGGGATTGTCGGTTGGAGCAGTTAACGAAAAAACAGGTTATCCGACTTGCTAACGAGTCTTTCGAAGACCGACTCGATAGGTTGTGTCTGTATTCAGACAACCGCGATCATGTCAGGAGAATGGGTACCGCTAACAGTTTCCACGACAGTCAACAACCTGGTCCAGCATTCCCGGAGCAGCTTACAGTTTCACGTTAGTCTCAATTATATAATATATAGTACATAACATATTCAATATTTTCAAAATTTAAGAAACTAAGGAAGGCATTAGCCATAATTTATTTAACGTAGCCTGTAACGGGTTTTCCTTCAGCGGAAAATTGTGAGCCTTCCTGCAAACGAATTCGGAGAAGCAACGTTATTGAACAATCAGTGGATCTTACTTTAAATGTTGATCATCCTGCTCAGCAAGAACGCCCGAATTCTATAGCAGGTCTGTAATACTGTGTAATGTAAACGATATACTTGCAGGTTACTATAAATTAGGATTGAAATTATCATTTGATAATACGTAAATTATTAGAGATAATTATTTCAGATGACAGTGAAACTACTAATCTACTTCTCTCTGATGATAGTAGTGATAACAGTAAGCACCCTTCAAAACGTTGTCGACGAGATGTCCCAGTTGCAGTTGATAGATCCCCGAATGCTTTAAGAGGTCATTTTACGAATTTATTTACTAATACTTGATTGTCATTAAAACATAGTTTATTTTTGATGCATGCTGCAAATATGTAAATAGTCATTTCAAATACGAAAATTTTAAAACTATTCAAATTTTAGGTCGCCAGAGAACGAGAGGTGGGTTTGGTCGAAAATCCAAACGGAGTCCAAGCCCATCTAGAACCCCGAGAAACTTATCGAGAAACCTGCGGTCCAGGGGAACAAGAGGACGAAGACGCCAACGTCGGGGGCCGGGGTATCCGTCACACGCCACAAGAGGACTGAACAGAATGCAGTTTAGAGGGCGAACTGGGAGAGCTTGGTTCAATCTAGCTTCAAAAATACCTGTCGACGAGTTCGACGAAACAGAACTACCGGAGGAGTTTTGTAACACCTTTGAAGGGTCGATCAGGGATTTTACATGCAACCACTGTAATGCATACTTCTGGAACAATGAAAACAAGAACACATGTTGCAGCGGAGGCAAAGTGAAATTGCCACGCTTACCACCAATTCCAGAACAGATTCAGTTATTATTCGATGTTAACGGATCCCATTTCCTCAAAAATGCTCGAGCATACAATAATCTTTTTGCTTTAGCATCACTCGGTTGTGGGCAAGAAATCAAACATCAGGGGTTCAGCCCGACATTTACCGTTCGCGGCAAAATGTACCACAGAATTGGCAGCTTATTGCCACAAGATGGTGAAAGCCCGAAATTTGCTCAACTGTATTTCCACGATACTGACCACGAAACTGGAAACAGGATGGAAATCATGAGCTCTCTGGATCAGCAGACAGTTGAGATTATTCAAAATACATTACATGATTGCAATCCGTACATCTGCTCATTGAAGTCTGGACTGGAACTAATGCGCATTTCACCTGATGTTAAATTAGTTTTGCATGCCGATGAACGACGACGGCCATCTGATGCCCACGCACGAACATACAACCTGCCAACAGCTTCAGAAGTTGGTGTACTTTTGCCGGGGGAAATCACTGCGAACATGGATGTTATTTTGCACGAGAGGGGAGGTGCGGTAAGAAGGATCAGTCCAGTTCATCGGTCATACGATCCATTACATTATGTTATTATGTTTCCAAAAGGTGATGACGGCTTTCAGTTGGGCATGAAAAGATCTGACAATAGGACTTTAACGGCTTCTGATTTTTACTGCTATCGGATGCAGGTTAGGGACGACTGGAACTCAGTAATGAAATACAGACGTTTGACGCAGCAGTTTGTGTGCGATATGTGGGCTAAGATTGAAGGTAGCCGCTTAGATTGGGTACGGCATAACCAGAAAACAATCAAGGCAGAAAAATATAATGGGCTCATAGACGCTCAGGCGGACAATGATCTGAACAATGCAGGAAAGCGCATTATATTACCTCCTTCTTTCTACGGTTCGCCAAGGTACTATCGAGAACGATTCCAAGACTCAATGGGTATTGTTAGAAAGTTAGGGAAGCCAGATCTGTTTGTAACGTTTACCTGTAACCCAAAGTGGAAAGAAATACAGGAAGCATTGGATCCAGGAGAATCATACACTGATCGGCCAGATCTTTGTGCTAGAGTTTTCAAATTGAAATTGAATGCTTTACTCAAAGACATTTGCTTAAACAAAGTTTTTGGAGATATACGGGGCTATACTGCCACAGTAGAATTTCAGAAAAGGGGATTGCCTCATATTCACATTGTTGTAATTCTCACAGATGAGTACAAACCTCGCACACCAGAGGATGTTGATAAGATAGTTTGCGCAGAGATTCCAGATCCCCTGACTAACCCTCGGCTGCACAAGATTATAACCACCAACAATATACATGGACCTTGCGGAAACATTAACAGGAACTCACCGTGTATGGTTGGTGAAGGTGCTGATAAGAAATGCTCCAAGAAATTCCCGAAGAATCTGTCAGCAGATACAATGCTAACCCAACACAGCCCTCCTGTTTATCGTCGTCGATCACCAGAAGATGGAGGACAAGTTCATAGGGTGAATATGGGAAGCGAAAGCAATCCGAACTTCTTCCTGCTGGACAATTCTTGGGTTGTACCTTATAGTCCACTTTTATCGTTAATTTACGAGGCGCATATAAACGTGGAAGTAGTATATTCAACGAGGTGTGTGAAATACCTGTTCAAATACATAAACAAGGGTCCAGACCGAGTAGTTGCGGCATTTGAGCAAGAGGATGAAGTTGAGACCTATTCCAACGCCCGTTACCTCTCAGCTTCCGAGGCTTACTGGAGACTCTATGGGTTTGACCTCTTTCATAGAAGTCCAGCAGTAATGAAACTTGACTGTCATCTGAAGGGGGAGCAGATGCAGTTGTTTGCTGAAGGTGAGGAAGAGGAAGCCATAAACCGTGGTCCACGTGTTACAAAACTTTTGGCATATTTCAATCAGAACGCAGAGGATCCAGAGGCCAGGGAAGTACTCTATCCAGACTTCCCAGACAAATACACTTGGATTGAGAAGGACAAACGCTGGCGGAAGAGAAAAACTGGAGTTACTGTTGGACGTATTCCAGTCTTTTCCTGCAATGCTAAGCAATCTGAACTCTTCTTCTTAAGAATGTTGCTCTACAACAAATCTGGGGCAACTTCTTTTGAAAACTTGAGAACGATAAATGGCCACGTTTGTCCAACCTTTCAAGAAGCTTGCCGTAAACTTGGGCTGCTGGAAACAGATGAAGAGTTGGACTGTGTGATGGAGGAGGCAAGCACAGTACAGTTTGGCAATCAACTTAGGGACGTTTTTGCGAATCTCCTTATCTACTGTCGGCCAGCAGACCCTCCCCTATTTTGGCAACGCCATCGCGAGAAGTTGGTTGAGGACTTTATGAGAGCTGAAAATGCTGAAGCTCCAACTGAGCTTATGTTCAACCAAGCGCTCCTCTATCTGAAAGAAAGATTCGAACAGGATGAATTAGACTTAGTGAAAGATTTCCTTCTTCCCGCTGTGAGGGAAGACCTTTTGCCAAGGTCTAACGTACCAAGGGTTGTCAGGGATGAAACATCTTATGATCGAGAGGCTCTTGCTCAATCCTTACAAGGGCGTGTAGAGTCACTCAATAATAAGCAGCATCTATTTTACTCTGCTGTTATGGATTCTGTTGCTAACAACTCTGGCAAGGTTTTTGCACTTCAGGCATCCGGTGGTACGGGTAAAACATACACCATCAACCTTATCCTCGACAGTGTTCGAGCTCAAGGAAAGATAGCCCTGGCAACTGCACTTTCAGGGATAGCAGCCACTCTGCTAAACAACGGCCGAACTCTGCACAGTCGTTGTAAAATTCCGCTTAAGCTGACTGAAGATTCTATGGCCAACTTTTCAAAACGGGACGCTACTGGCAAGTTGTTACAAGAAACAGCTGTACTTATTATTGATGAAGTAAGCATGGGTAACAAAATGATCTTCGAGACACTTGACAGATCACTTCAGTTTGTCAGAGGAAACAACAAACTGTTTGGTGGGATAACAATGGTGTGGGCTACTGATTGGAGACAGAGCCTCCCTGTTGTAGTGAAAGGAAGCCGAGGACAGATAGTGAATTCATGTCTCAAGAGTTCTTATCTGTGGAAACATGCAACCGTTTTCAAACTTGACATTAACATGCGTGTTTTCCAGAACAGCGAAGACAAAGAATTTACTGATTATCTTTTATCTTGCGGTGATGGCCTGCTTCCAATTCATCCTCAAGGTGGCCAGTTCAGGGTAACAATCCCGGATGAGTTGATCTTCAAGGGTGACTTAGATGCTCTTATTAACTGGGTGTTCGAAGACCTTGAAACTCAGTATACAGATCACAGCTGGACTGCAAGTAGAAGCCTGATCTGCCCTACAAACAAAACTGTTGACTTGATTAACAACAAAGTCATGGCGACGTTTCCGGGCGAAGAGAGACTCTACAAGTCCCACGACAAAGTGAGCTCCGAAGACAGCTTTGACATTCCACAAGAGTATCTGAACACTTTGGGCCGTATTTACCAAATTTGCTTAAAGTACGACCTTAAAGGAAGAATTTTAAGTATCACGTTAAAGTGACACTTAAAAAGTTGGACCTTAATCGAAATTCGTATTTACCAACTGGAAATAGCTCGTACTTTAATTTATAGGTTGACCTCCCACTTATGCTCTAAGTGGGAGGTCAACCTTTAACTAAAATTGTTATTCACCAAAATTTTATCACTGAACTGACACTTTAAGTGCAGAATTAGATGTATTGTAATGTATTGTATAAGAACATGATGAGTATCAGGAGGTAATTAGGGGAAAATAGACTGCTGAGAGATTAAATAGAGAGCAAGATTAACAAATTTTACTAATTATCAGGAGAGCTGTTAGCACAAAGCTATCAGGAGGTAAACCAATGTTTGCGAGTTGCTGTAATATGTTTCTGATCGAAATCCGTTTGTCTGATTTGTTTGCTCCTGATTAAACTTTAGTAAATTTGAATAATGAATGAGTATTGAGTACGACGACTTGTTAAACCTACAACGGCAGCGGGTAGAATCTAGAGTTATTCAGCGCAGGCCTGTCCTAAGAGACCGATTTAACCTACTGGAGGCATACGATGACGTAGATTTTTACTACCGATTTCGAGTCAAGATAGAAGGTTTTCTTCTCATCCTCCAAGCCGTAGAGCCCCTACTTTCTCAGTACAGGAAACAAACCAATTCCCCATTGAGCCCGGTACAGCAGCTCTCTGTGGCGCAACGGCTTTGCAGATCTCTTGTGGCGACATTCAGCAAGCTCAAAGAAAAAACCCTCGTTGGGAGTGAAGAACCAGGTAAAGAATTTTCCTGCCTCGTCATCTCACCTTAAGTTTAACTGTAAGAGGACAACAACAGAAGAGGCGTACCAGGAGCGGGCAGAAGAGATACATCAAGCGAGAATGGGGATGCTGACCACGCAGCAAATACAGATGTCAGAAAGGCATGAACTGTGGATGGAGATTTTGAAGGGCCTTACAGTCAATTTGGTGCCAACCTCATCCCGATTACCATTTTCAGGTGGCCTTCCCGCCGAGCTTGAGGGTGAAAACATAGCTGATTTTATTATGAATATTTTACTTTCACTTCAATATTTACTCTATTTTTACTCTTGAAACGCTAGTGTTTTTATTGTTTTTCACACGGTGCAAGTACATAATTAACCGTTAAATGAGTAGAGATCTTAATTGTAAATGAGTCAAAATCAATACGTTTAGCTCTAATATGACAGCTATAATATAACCGCTAATCATAACCAACTATAATATATTTTAGAATATAACTGTTACATATGTAACAGATTTTAAACTTTAAGTATGAGGTCTGTAGATTAAGGGTGACATAGGTGTACCTTAAAAATAGTCGTTTTAAGTGTGAGTTTAAGTACGAACTTAAGTATGACTCGATTTGGTAAATACCAATTTTGAGGGATTTTAAGTGTGACACTTAAAAATTAAGGGTGACACTTAAAAGAGAATTTCGTGAATACCATTTGTAGAGTTGCCACTTAAACTCCTTTTTAAGTGCGACCTCATCCTTAAACTGCTGTTTAAGTATGACCTAAAGGTTGGTAAATACGGCCCTTTGTCACCAAGTGGAATGCCACCCCATCAGTTGAAAATGAAAGTCGGTTGCCCTGTTATGCTTCTTCGGAACCTGCAGCCTCAGCAAGGTCATTGTAACGGCACCAAATACATCGTTACTGTATTGCATGATAATATCATAGAAGCCGTGGTTGCTGGAGGATCTTACAAGGGAAACAAACTATTTATTCCTCGCATCCCTATAAAACCAACGGATGGAACATTCCCCTTCGACATGACTAGACGGCAATTCCCTCTAAGACCCTGCTTTGCGATCACGTCCAATAAGGCCCAAGGACAAACGCTAAAAAAAGTTGGGATCTTTTTGGACCGGCCATTTTTCTCCCACGGCCAATATTATGTGGCGCAAAGCAGGGTTGGGGAGAAAGACGCGCTTAGAGTATTGTCATTGGACATTGGGTTGACGGATAATGTTGTTTACCCAGAAGTACTGGACAGATAATATGTTAACAGCGATTTTGTTTTATGAATTTGGTTTGGAATTGGATTTACTGACATTTTTTAAATTTAACTTTACGAAAAGAAGTATAGAACTGTTTGCATCTATTACTTTTAACACTACCATGACCAACCTGTTCTCCTTTTACTCTTAAATGGTTCTATATTTCTCAAAAAATTGTATCCTGTAAATAATTGTACATTATTCTAAGTAGGTATCTATATTTTATAACCCACCATACCAATATGCCATACTTTAAACACATCAACTTATAATTTATATGCTATGTGTTTTGATTCTTAGAGTTAGTCCTTATTAGTATTACGGCACTTTGTTTACAGTTTTGACAGATGTCCTGCACATATTCGAAGCATTTTTTAACTATTTACTATTTCTATCGTAATGTTGTGTAAATTTGATAATAATTCTAATTGCAATTCTAATATTTGAAAATGCTGTCTTTAAATTTGACCCAATAAATTTAGAAAGCGAAAACGTGGTGTCAGCGATAGTAAATAATTATTGTCGTCCGGAGGACGGGTACCCTGCTAGTTATAACAATCGATTGATAGAGTAATATTTGGCAATTTAAATGGTCAAATTAGAACTTTTAGTGTACCATTTGATTTCAGTGTACCATTTGATTTCAGGATACCATTTGATTTCAGCATACCATTCGATTTCCGGACACCGAATTTGCTTCATAATTTAATCTGCTCTGGAGTGCGGATTACAATCTGTCAAGAGCCTGGGCTATCGGTTAATATATCAAAACAGCAATGATGGTGTTCAACAGAACAGAAAATGTGCTCAAGGATAGTACAAGTTGAGCTGTGAGTGTGATATCTACTACTCTAATCTACTGAAGTAGATTAGAGTGCGGGTTAGGTTAGTAAATGTTGAGAGATGTTGACTATTGACTTTTCAGTAATTTAAACCCTTTTCGATTTGTTTCATTTTTGTTTGATAAATTTGCAGGTAACTCAGTTTTCTGAACTAATTAAAACCAAGACCATGAAATGCGCAACCATAATTCATAAATATAACAACAACCAAATACACTGCTTAAATAAACTTCCAAAATTCAAAACTATGAAACATTTTACAGGCAAATTAATAGATATCCGAGTTCATGAATAAGCTTAGTATTTGTAAGCGTAGACACCGTCCCACTGAGGATCGTAGGACTCCATCCAGAACTTTCTGAAGAGATGGATCAGTTCGTTTCGCTCCAGTCTTCCACTCTTGTCAATGTCAGCTTTCTCAAAGAAGGTGTAGGCAGCCTCCTGAGGCACATCAAAAGCCTTCATCATGGTCTTTAGTTCATCAACATCAACAGTACCATCACCGTCATCATCCAGGACATCGTAGTAAGCGTCTGACAAAAGACCAATCAAGGAGGGTTCACCACGTCGTTCCCTCTCTCTCTCAGCCTCAGCAAAGACCCTGTTAGCTTCAACCCAGTCGTCTCTGAGAAGTCCCTTTTCTGGATCCACTCCTTTGTTGAGGAAGAAGGTGTAGCAAGCAGCCCTCATCTTCTCGACCTGTTCGTCAGTAGCGTTCACCAACTGCCTCATTCTGTCGGGCCAGTACAGGACCTCGTCCATGTCCATACGACCGTCACTGTCTAGATCGAAGGTGTCGAACCTCTTGTACAGCCGGCTGAGCTGTTTTGGGTGTAGATCCTCGACATGAAACTGCCAGTCGTTACCCACACTTCTCAACCATCTATAGCTCTCGTTGTTATTCTCGTCTAGAGGCATTGCGTTCCTTGGCTGAATTATGTATATAATTAATATAACAAACTTTTAAAGGTTACAAAGCAGTATTTCGAGATAAATATCATATATGAGACAAAAGAAACGCCATCTTACGTGTTAGGACGCAAGGAGGATTAATTGGGACCAGGATAACTATATTTAAAGCAAACCCAGGCTTGGTTTTGGATAGGTTCAAATATTTCATAATCACTGATTTGGACAAACAGTATTTCAGGCTCCAAATTGGTCCACTGTTGAGAACTATGCACGAAATGGTCATATTGCTGAAAAGGAGCGAGTTTTACCTAATGAAACCCTTAGGTTAAGGTTAAAAGGTTCAGCCTGAAATTTTACGTGCAATTTTGCCGCTCCCACAGAAATATAGTGTGAACCCCTCAAGAAAGGGCTTTAGCGATTTTCATCCATCAGTAGCATATCCCTGACTGATCCGCCAGTGCCTCCACCCTGTCCACTACCTATCACCACTACCTTACTCAATACTATCTACAGCACAGACAGAATCGAGGAGGCTCTTAAATCCTTCGATCCCTTGAAATCTGCTGGACCTGGCACTCTCAAAACCTCATCATCCAGAAAGCCTGGACAGTGGACACACATCAAAGATACATTCCGACTTTGTGGAAGGAATCCCTCGGAATCTTTCTCCCAAAGCCCGGTAAAAAAGACTACAACCAACCGAAGTCATTTCGCACTATCACCCTTTCTCCTGTGATGTTAAAACTACAGGACAGGTTGTGGCACATACAACATGACCTTAATATTGCTTACGACATCAACAAACGACAATTCGGCTTTAAGAAGGGATGTTCGACAGAAGTAGCCCTTCATAAAGTAACTCACACCATCGAGCGCAGGATAGCTAAGAAAAATACGTCTGAGGAGTCTTTCTAGATGTAGAGGGAGCCTTCGATAATGTCTCTTTCAAGGCTATCTCTGAAGCTATCAAGAGCACGAAAGTGGATCTGGCTACTGCTCAATGGATTATCAACATGGTAACTAACAGATTCATCACCATAAATCATAAGGATAAATCGAGAAGGGTTCGGATCCGGAGAGGGTGCCCCCAATGAGGCATTCTTTCCCCTTTCCTCTGGAACCTGGTAGTCGATGATCTCCTGGCCTACACTGCTAAAGACATACCGGGTTATCTGCAAGCTGTTGCAGATGATCTGGTTTCTCTAGCAGAGTTGAATGATTTAGATATTATCTGGAACAGAACACGCAATACGATAGAGAAATGGGGCCAAACCAAAGATCTATCCATAAGCGCACTCAAAACTCAATTAGTCATGTTCACCTGGAATACGAAATGGACATTAAGACCTGTGGTGGTAGGTAACACCACTAAATTCCTAGGAGTGACCCTTGACAGCAAGCTCAACTTCAACGAACATATCACCAATATCACCAAAAAAGCTACGGCATCCCTTATGCAATGTAGAAGAACTGTCGGCCCCACATGGGGTATGAACCCCAAAACATGCAAATGGATGTACACCGCTGTTATCAGACCTATTCTGTCCAACTGCGGTAGCATATGGATCAGGGCAACCCAAACAGACACCAATGCGAGGAAGTTCAAACGAGTGCAGGCACTGGCACTGAGAATGATGTCTGGTGCAATGACAAGTACTCCCTTCATCGCATTGAACCACCTCACTAACACTTCAGATATCATACTTTTCCTGATAGGCGAAGCAGCAAAGGGTGCAGCCAGGCTTCAAGCATACGGTAGCCTAACCCTAGAAACTATCACCTTCAGAAAAGGTACCATCAAAACTCACACCACTATCAACAAACAATTCATGGTAGATCTCAACATACCATCCAAAGCAGAGAGAGACCTATCAATACCAACCATGATGCTTGAACGGCATTTCACAGTCACCACTCCTGGAGCTGACAACATTGAATATAGAGATTCACTTCTAAACACCATCGACAACATCTCCAGTGAGACGATCACCTGTTACACAGACGGGTCACGCACAGACTCAGGAAGCGGGGCTAGCTTGTCATACGTTGTGTGCGCGGCTCCCCCTGTATCGTCGAAACTCTACAGTGAAGCGTGGGGGTCACCACGTGATACAAGGGCTAGCTATATCATCACCACTGACAATAATGACTCCACTCAATTGAAAAGATCATTCAAGCTTCCTGATTATTGCACTGTTTATCAAACAGAACTAACAGCCATCATCGAAGCTTGCAAATATCTCTCAACTTATACCAACACACATATCATCATATGGTTTGACAGTCTCTCCCCTATACAAGCTATCTCATCGCTTTGAACGAGGAGTTAGCTTGTATAATAGAGACTGTTATGACTCCCTCAATGCACTCGGTTCCACTAACACTCTAGAGATCCGATGGATAGCTGCACAGACCGGTGTGACATAGCCACTACTCACATGTTGTCATAGCGACTACTCACACGTTCTTTCTGTCCCACACCCAGCTGACACCTAAGCGTTCCCTCAGAACACTTACCATCATCCTCCACTATACAATTACACTATAATTTCTCCGGCATCCTCCCCTAAGACTGCCATACCCCAGAGGCAGGCAAAGCATCCTCATGCTATCCTCTCGTGGGCCACCCAACTCAAGCCTCTCTCTCAAAAAAAAGAAAAAGCATCATATCCCTGTTAGGGGAGTGCTTCTGAGGCACTTTACAGCTTTACAGCAGACGAGTAAAGCATCAATTCTAACTCTTAACGGTTACTGATGCTTCTTTTATAGTCGCCACGGTTCATAATTAAACTACTTAACTACTTGCCAAGGATTCATTTCTTTACTTCATGGGCATTTAAAGGAAATTAAATTTGAATAGCTTGCACGTTTCTTATCTTATATATATTAATATAATGATCATGTCCAATTGATATATTAATATAATCGTTGATAGCATTATATTTGACGATTCTAATCGTGAATTATTAAATGATTAGAATATTCAAATTTAATAATAAAGGTGTGATTATTTCTGATGGTCTTCCTACTCCTAGGTGTTCTTGTCCAATTGAAATGATTCTTGGAAGACAAATTGTGAAATTGCCTCAATGTAATTAAGGAGTTTAACGAAATGAAGAGAAAATAATAGAAGGTAGATTTGATAGCAGTAACATACTCAGGCACTCAGCATGTTATTTCTGATGGTCTTCCTGGCCTCGGTCCAATTGAAATGATTCTTGGAAGATGAATGCCTTAATGTCAATAACTGGCAATACATTTCATGTTTCGGTATACAATTAATTCGTTAATACAATAAAAGAGTTTAACGTAACGAATAAATAATAATTGAAGGGAGATTTGACTGCTTACTAAGTAGGAGGTATTAGTTTTTTATCAAAATATTTTAAGTACAAATAAATTCATAAAATTCATAAATTTGTGTTTTCACCTTGACAGGAATTTATGTGTTATGTGACTCACATTCTATTGAATCAAAAACCGGAACTTCAATAAATGTAATAATCGTCACCTGGAAGCTGTTATAATTTGTTGTCATGATCTGAAATATTCTTTGCTGAAACCTGAGTATATTTTGCAGTTTACCTAGTATAATTACAATTCAGCATACTGAAAGTAGCGCGTATTCTCTCTGTATTACTTAGTTTATAATACATTACTTAGTTTCCTGAGCACAGTTATTAGTTGCGCTCATCAGCTTCCACGGAGGCCTGAAATAAACTGAAGATAAATTAGCACCAACATTTTCCCATCTGCTAAAATAGAGCGCAGTAAAGCTGCTCATCAGCCCGTAGAAAATAGTAACTCACGTGACATTAGAATAGTGCCCACGTGACTTGGGAAATGTGCCCACGTGACATTGAGTGTGTTGTTAGTAAGGAGCACGATATTCTACTGGGCACCTGTTCCTGATCTGAAGCTAAGATCACCACTCTTCTAAGCTGTCCTCTCCAAGCAACGGCACTTTGCGGTCCTCTACCATGAACCACTGGCTAGAACCACGTGGTTTGCACGTGTTGGTCACGTGATACACAGAACAATATAAATTATCAAGAAAACAACCAATTGTTTCAACAAAAAAAAAGATTATGTGTCACGTGGTATGAACATGTGCCCCATGCCATTTAGAACAGTCTTTGTTACACTTACTGTCGTGAGTATACAGGTTTATAACGACCCTATTTAGTAATCATTGTTTTGTGTAACTCACGGTGATTCATCCTTACAACACAGTGGTAGGGATTGGAAGTTTCGTAGTAACACAATATTTGGGATTGCTTTTTCCTTTGAAATTTATCCCAAATCTTCATATTGCCTTCGTTCCGTCAAACTTTGCAATTGAAAGCTAGTCTCCTAACGTATGAAAACAAAATTTCCTTGGTACTGAGCTGTGAGCAGATAAAATATCATTTTATCATCCTAACCCAGGAGCTTATCATCAAACATCCATCCCATCAATTTAACGGCGGATAGTTTGCATTAACAACCATGGGTAACACGACTCCTGTCCGACAGTGACAGCACTTTTTTCTTGTGTTTGAAATGATATCTCAAATTTGGCACTTAGAAATTCACCCAAACTTGCACAGATTATTCGTAGTAAAGCTATTTTACTATCTGGAAAGTTTCAAGAAAATCGTATAGTTGGATCTGACATAAACTATTGTTCAAAAAACCTAACTTTGGAGTTGGACAGGAGTCGCCCAATTTAACCATGTGCCCCTCACTAACGCCCAATCCCACGTGATTATTAAGATAATCCAACTCACTATTCACTGACCCTATATTACTCTATCAGTAGGGACGTTCTCTTTTTAATTAACCCACTAAGGACGATAATTCCACGTGTTACGATCTGCACAACGACTAACTTTGACTGCAGAGTCACTATAGTTACTATAGTTACTATAAGAGTATAAGTATAGTGACCGACTACCACAATAATGAATAAATTCTAAGATGCTAGATAACAGTTCTGAGATTAGTAATTAAGGTTAAAAACCCAGCTGCTGGCTCATAGATTTATTCATATTTGCCATTTTGGATGTTAGACAGTAAAGATAGTTTTAATGAGGTCTGATCGTCATCTTCTGTCATCGTTCGATGTCTGTGTGAAGGTAAAATGGTGACATCCTCTGGATCAGGCAGAAGTCGAGTGTAAAGATAGTTTAATGATAATGTGATTGTAGAGAATAGCCTAGAAATAACCGTTCGATTTAGATGTGATGCAGCCTACACGGGTATATTTATAAATTGCAAGACAAACCAATTTATCCATTATTGTACAAAAACCGAAGAACAAATTGGATAACTACATTAGTAGAGACCAGTTAGTGGGTAGGGAGAGGAAGTAGAGGGTAGAGGGTTAGTTGGAGCACGCACTAGAGTATTTGTAATGTCGCTGTCTTATTTACTGTAGATAGCACACTCACAGTTGTAATCACATGTTCGTTTTCGACGTTTTGATGTTTCACACACAGCAATGTGTCGTAAATATGGAAAATTCATTACTGCCATTGCTATAAAGATTGTTCCTCCGCCATTGTCTAACCCCCATGCCCACTCCTTGACTTTAGAGTGTAACCCCCACTCCCTAGACTTTAGAGTGTAACCCCCGCCCCTAGACTTTAGAGTGTAACCCCCACCCCTAGACTTTAGAGTGTAACCCCCACCCCTAGACTTTAGAGTGTAACCCCCACCCCTAGACTTTAGAGTGTAACCCCTACTCCCTAGACTTTAGAGTTAAACCCCCACTCCCCAAGAGTTTAATTCTATAACCCTCATATTAGTATGAGCTTTTTGTTTTGTTTTTGTTTGTTAAGGGAGCAAATACCACTCATCAGTATTTTAGAAATGACAATCTGTCTCTAATCTGTCAATATTTAGTATTTACCGTTACGCACAATAGTTGTCCTTACTGTTAAGCAAGATATACTGATAGCTAGATAATATTAAAATTATTTGTTATATAGTAGTGTTGAAAGTATAAAGTAAGATACGAGACAATCTTCTGTGCAGTTGGCAGGTGTAATACAGCTGTCTCATTCACTGTAAATATAGCGCGATAATATTATCTAGAAGGAATGAAACGTGGTGTCTTATTATCAGTGATATGTTGATTGTTGAAGGAATATCAGTGGAGCTGTTAGAGCAGCAGCTGGATTAGCAGCAGCTGGAGTGTTCAATATTTAACTAACAACCATCAGATGTGGCCACCAGCGTTAGAATCACATATTTCCAGTAATCCTAGTCACCTATCCGTGGAACAGATGTTTTCAAAAATATGAAAGTACGATCACATTAATATAACATTAATATAACCATTTGTACATGAGTTAGCTGTCCATCATTAATAATTACGTCACAGTAAACTTCGTGAATTTCCAGTGGTCCGTTTGTGATTGTAGTTTTACAACCTACCAGGACGCGCGCCGAGTTGGACTCGTCGACGGTCCAATATATGGAACAGATATTTTACGAGTATCACCCGTTAAGTTTGTGACATCTTATTAAGGGGGGGGGGGGGGGGGGGGGGTTCACCCTGATTTTTTTGTGAAACTTGGTTTCGAGATAGCAGCTGACCAACAAACTAGGACCAGTGACTAAACTTTTGAGGGGGTCCCGGACCCCAAACGCCAAACGGTGCCCGCGGGGCAGCCACGCCCATATTTGGTCCAAATTAGGCCCAATTTAGCCAAATACCCTGAACATGCCCAAAATCCAGATTTTAGGTGCTCTACTTGTAGCTAGTGGTCCCTTGAACTCGTATATGAAATTTCATCGAGATTGGACAAAAAATGACTGAGTTATGAGCCAAAAAGCATATGACCATATTTGGGCACACGCTCCAAAATTGATAGATTTTGGCCCATAAATTGGTCAAATATCAATATTTTTGAATGAAACCAAATTTATATGGAAGGTAAGCTTATACTACACATTCTCTATGATTATCAGCTCAATATCTACCTAACTGTGGATTCTGCGTTCAAATAATAGCAAAAAATGAACAAAATCGCATATATCTCAGTTCGCGATATTTGCAAAACTGATTTCGCTCAAAACAATAGAACTCAATAGGGTTTCAATATTTTTACATGAAATTTTTTAGAATCAACGTAGAATTGCATTTCGACCTTAAGTTTTGTATTGGAATTTTGAGTTAGGCCTTTAAAAAAATTTGGCGGCCAAATTCCAAAATTTGCACTGCAAAATTCAAAATTTGGCCGCCAAATTTTTTTAAAGGCCTAACTCAAAATTCCAATACAAAACTTAAGGTCGAAATGCGATTCTACGTTGATTCTGAAAATTTCATGTA